CAGAAACAACCCCACCAAAACCGCTTTTGGCTCGTGGTTTCTGGCTGCCGCCTGCACACAGCCTAGATTTTCCCATTTCCCCTCAGCTCAAAGAAGAGGGGGGAAAAAAGAAAAAAGAAATGAAAATGGAAAAGCCAGAAAACAACTTCCCCCACAGCAACCCCCATGGGCTGCCTGTTAGATTCAAGGCTTTGATCCTCTATTTGCACAGAAAGGAAGACGTAGCGCCGCTAACTCCCGTCGCGTGGGGCCGAGGGGGTTCTGTGGAGCGTCGGCGGACAGACGGGGTTAGTTTGAAGACAAATTGCATACCTGTTGCCCTCCTTCTGGAGGGCTGTACATGTACCACGAGAACAACAGCCGCTGACCCCAGGAGTTCACAAAGGGGCCCCGTGCCGGGACAGAAGCCCGGGAGCCGCAGTCCAGCCAGTGCCTCCGACGCCTCATCGAAAGCTTGAGGTCAGCCTGAACTTCTGAGCATCTTCAAGACAGTTCGTGGATAACGGGGACTTCCAAGCAGTGGCTGGGACAGACACGTTTGTGGCTTTTTTTTTTGTCAATTTATTTCCAAGAGGACAGTGAGGGAACAAGACGAGACTCTCGGTCGAGGAGCTGTAACGCAGGAATACAGCTCAGATGTCAGAGCAGCAAAGCCAGGGCTCATACAGCACAAGAGCATCCGTCCCCGTTGTTATGCACGTGCTGCTCCGGGCATGCAGGGGCATTTTCTAGGAACTGGTAGGTTCTTCTGTCCTCCAAGCATGACAGAAGGTGGGGGCCTGCGGTGCAAGGGTGCTCTTTAAAAAAGGAGGTATAAACCGTAACTGAATTTATTGGAACGCAGGGTTGTTTTGTCAGGGGATGTGATGGAGGAAAGGAAGAGTCGAAGCTTTGAGAAGCAAATTTGGGTGAGAACAGGCACCTTTTCACTCCCTTGAACACCGTAAATAATAATAATTAAAAAAAAAGATCAAATGGCCACCCTCCCCTGTCCCTCCCTCCCAATCCCAAGGCTTGCCTTCACATCATGCTCTTCCTGTACTGAGACTGTGAGCTCTGTTTGGGTTTTGAGTCCGACTGCTGCAGTTCAAACTGTTTGTACAGGTCCCTCAGCTCTTTGATCTCCTGCAGCACCCTCTTGGCTTTGCTCCCGGTCCCCCCCCAGCAGCCTCTCAGATTCCTGCAGGATCCGTTCAGAGTCCGACTTGGAAGATGACGAGGAAGAAGAGGTGGTGGTGGTGGTGCTGCTGGTGGTGGAATCCTTGGTCTTTCTCTTGCCTTCCCCGTAGCCCTTCACCTCCGTCAGCAGTTCCTGAGTTTTTTCCAGTTTCAGTGCAACCAGTTCTTGTATCCGGGACAGCTGCTCTGGCTCTGCTGAGGCAAACTGAGCCTCCAGCCCCCTCCTCAGCACCGCCCGGTGCGTGGAAGAGTCCCGTCGAGACAGAATTTCCTCCATGGAGGCACATTTATTCTTTTCTGAGTGCGAGAGCTTTTTGGGGACCTGTGGTGTGTACATGGTCCCCTTGTCAAAGGAGTCATTGCGCTGCCCAGATCTGTCCCATGAGGTCACCTCCCTCCTCGGGAGGCTCCCTGTCCGGCCTTTCTCTGACGACTTGACATTCTCCGAATCCGACCGGCGGCGTCCAGCAGTCAGATGTGCCACTGACTTGTCCAGATCCACCCGGAAACTCTCTTCACAGGTGCTGTGATCCTCTGGAGAGGCGTCTTCCTCCTGGATCAGGTCGAGGGTCAGCATGCCGTCAGAGGTTGAGGTAGATGCCTGCGGGAACAAGGAGGAGCTGTGTTGTCACGGGAGCAGGCGTGGCTGCGCACTATTTGCGAGCGCATCGCCTGCGCCGGGACGCACAGATGGGACATGAAGACTGGCAGGGGGGGCCGAGGGCCCGGCGGGGGGGGTTTGTGGTCCTGGCTGAGGGGCAGGTCAGCTGAGCGGCCTTGCACAAGCCACTGGGGCTGAGTTCTCCAGCCGCATGGCCCTTCTCCACCAGGAACCTGAAGGAGCATTTCATCCTCAGCATCAGGAAAAGGGGTGTCAGCTACAGCTTTGGAAACGAATCTGCGCAATGCCGTGGTCTACAGGAACGGAGAGCTGGAGCTGCTGACCCGGGACAGCTGGGGCTCAGCACAAGCTCCACTTCAGGCTAGAGCTCAAACACCAAGTCTCCTTGTGTCTGCCTACCAGTGAAATAGTTAGAAGGAATTCTACCTACGCGGGTGTCTGGAGCTCGCTCTACGTACCACAGCCATCAAGTGTCCCCGTGTCGGAGGGCGTCGGGAGTGCTGTATTTTTGCTCTGTCACGTGTCGGGTGGGCGAGGTAGCTGTCCTCTTCGACAGTGACCTAGAGGGGTGACAAAGGCTAGTGAGCATCGGGCAGCATAGGAAACGCGAGCCATTCCTTCTTTCCGTAGCTGTAATCAGCCAGATGCACCGTGGCAGATCGTTTATTCCTCCAGGGTTCCCTTTCTCTCGTGACCTGGCCATGTGCTGAGGGTGAACGTCTCCCCCAGACCTCTGGTACCAAAGGCTGCCAGGCTGGAGCACTCTCTTAAGCAGGAAATGGAGAGGGCAGGAGGGGTCGCTGCTGTCTCCAGCAGTCTAAAATCTTCACCTGAGATTAAAGTTGCGACAACAGTGCCTGGGTCTGGCCCTCAGGGTCCTGCTCACCTCATCTAAGATGCGGTTTTTAGCCCGTGTGATCGCAGAGTTGAGGGCATTAATCCAGGACTCTTTCTCTTCTGGACTCACAGCCAGGAAGATCAGATTTGGTGCCTACAAAAGAGGGAATCCAGGTCAGTGCCAGTGACTAAACTCGCACAGAAATGCTTTCACGCTGTCCCTGCCCACAGAAAAGCTGCAGGGCCTTTACAGCTGGCTTGCCTGAGCGGCAAAACGCAAAGCGGACCTGATCGTCCAGCCCTGCAAACCGGCGCTGCTCTGTCCCACGCTGCGCCCGCTGCTCTGCTTCTCGGCAGCCCTCTGCAGAGCAGCCCGTGGTTCCTCGCGGCACCCAGCGTTACCAGCCAAAAGCTGCGTGCCATATTTACTTTCCTCGTGGCTGCGGTTCCTCCATCCCCCTCTCTGCCTTCCCACACAGCAGCCTAGATTTCGCCCTCATCAAACGATGATGCAGCCTTTCCGTGCATCTGCTGCTCACATGCGATTTATCTGCTGCCACCTCCGATTTCACCAGAGTCTGTTAGACAAGCAGCTACAGCAGGTACACACAGACGGAGCCGCATTTTCTGTACTTTGATTTGTCAGATGCACACGGAGGGCAGAGAAGTTCTGAAAATATGGCTGTGTAGGGGATCCAGGACCCTTAGGGTTTGGTTTTAAGTTAGATAGTAGAAACGAGTTCTAGCCTCCACAGCATTTTGTTCAATTCTCCCCATTGCTCGGGGCGCTTGGGGACAGCGCAGCCGCTTTCCCTTTTCCCCTTCTCTTCCCTTTTCGCGCTGCGTGGTGTTATACAATCCTTAGGGAGTGTGGGGTGGGCAGGCTCGCTCTGCTGCAACGAGTCAGCGTGAACAGTGCAAACCCAGCTCACGAGCGTGGCTGCGGGTGGGGGTGTGGCAGTGTGCCAGAGCCAGCCTGTGGTTAGAGGCCACCGAGCCCTGGGGGGCAGTCCCGCTCCTGGGGAGCAGCGCTCCCCTCCTGGCACGGTTTAGCTTTCCCCTGGGCAGAAAGCACTCCTGGGACAAACTCTCTTGTGGTGCTGCCACAGCCAAGGACCGTCAGCATCCCTCCTTCCCCCGCCTGCCCCCGGGAATAAAGAAGTGCAGTCAGCTAAAGCGCAGCTGCCCGAGGTGGTGGCAGGAGGATGGCTTTGTCCTTGCTGCTGGCAAATGTTCTGATCCCTTCCTTCCCCAAAGTCAGAATCAGGTAAACGGATCAGGAGCTCGGTCCTATTTAGCACACCAGAGGCCCGAGTCCTCTCCCAGCAGAAACCCTGCTGCTCTCTCCATCTCTCGCTGAACGTCCTGACGTGGTAAACGGACGTTCACGTATTTTAAACCAGAGGACACAATCGGGACTCCTACACAACTCAGGTTCTCCGGTTTCGCCTTTCAATTCCCTGGAGCAGGTAACCGGCCTGCACCGAGACCTAACGGCTTTCTCGGGCTGCCCACGCGCTTGAGAGCAAAGCGTACCGTGTTTCCAGGCTGTCTGGAGTGGGCCAGGGTAAATTTGCTGTGGTTCTTTTTGCTTCTGCTTTTGGACTTCCTGAGCTCTTCGCATTTCTCATAATCACTCAGGTCAAACATTTCCTGTATGTTTTTTTCATCTTTGACCTGCAAACCAAAACATAAAATTACAGCCTTGCAGATGTCAGGCAGGAGCTGGCGGGGTGCTGGAGGGGTGTGGATGTACGGAGCGCGTGCCGGCGCCTCTCGGGCGTTACTCAGCCCGCGAGAGTCTTCCACCTTCGGACGCAAACAGCATTATTAGCTGGGGAGCGCTACTCGGGGTTTTGGGGGGGAGATGCAGAGATTATCAACACGGCAGTTTTGACTCAAGTCTCTTCCGGAATGAGGGGGGCGTATTTAGAAGGCTGACTTGCAAATCTCATTCTCCTAGGTTAATTCCTGCTTTGCTGCCAGTTCCTTCGGGACTTAACTGCCTCTCCCACCTCCAGCGCCACCGAGGCCAGGCTGAGCTGCCACGCGGGTGTGACGGACACAGCTTTTATGCTTGTGGAGCCTCAAAATGACCAGCAAGGTGAGGGCCCTGACTGCGAAGGGGAGGTTCACGCAGAGGCAGGTGATGCTGGGAGGAGGTGGACTTTGATCTGCTGATTCAAAGGGGCAATCATATTAGCGCTTGTTGCTTTTCTGGAGACAGCGTAACAAAAGTTTGAGGGATAAAGATTAGCACTGCCTATTTTTAACCTGGTGGTATTACTGAGGCCTGCGCCGACAGCTGATTTGGGGGGTGGAGGAGGCACATCCCGTCCCAGATTACTGACACCAGGCCTGCGCTGCCCTCCCCCGCCGCCGAGCCCAGTCCCTTGCCGAGGGGCTACGGGCAGGATCACCCAGGGGATCGCCGGGGGCATGGCTGTTGTTCTGGCAGCTTTTACAAGATCTCGCTTTTTCCATGTGTATTCCCCAGCACCCCCCGTATTAGCCACGGTGGGACAGGCACACGGCTGTAGATCAATCAGATGAAAGGTGTGACTTGCGCAGGGTTGCGAAGGCTGTGGCTGAGCTAGGGAGGAAAGCGGGGTTCTCGATGCTGTCCCCTGGCAGGCAAGTCCCTCCCCTGGAGGTGCTGTCCCTGAGGGGCACTTGGGGAAAAGAGAAGGCACAGCCTGTCTTCCGCCTGCCCTGCTGCTCATTCCAATCTTTGCTGCGCTCTCCCTGCAGCAGGGCGGCCCTGCTCTTTCCACGGGAGAACACGAGGAAGGGAGGTAACCGCGATGGGAGAGAAGTTGGGTTTGCGTGTCTGCTGAGGGCAGAACTGTCGCAGGCTCAAAGCCACGTCAATCTGTTTAATCCGACTGCAGCCGGGGTCATCACCGGCTGGGAGCCGCGGTGGAGTCTGAGGAACTCAGGTGCCGGAAAGGCAGATGGTGATGAGGCCTTAGCTCTTGGATTTCTTGAAAGGACTCCACCCCACTTAATATGTTTCCTGTCTACTTTTGGGAAGCACTGAAGGAATTCCCGGCGATTTTTTCAAGAGACTTTAAACAAAGAGGCTGACTAAAGTGCTGTAACAG